AATTATATGAATATCTAGAACAATAAATTGATTAATCATAACGACAGCCATGCAATCTCTAGAGTTTCTGTCCAAGGATAGAGAGGGAGGACGAGGTGACACGGCTCTTCCACAGTGCGCAAGCATCAGATATTGGTGCCTACCCGGGTGGATTGTCGGAGGGGTATGGTCCCCCAGCATGGGGATTCGTCTTGAAGAGGGATTGAAAAACTCAGTTGAAGGGATGTGGCATCAAGTATGGTGGTGAAGTGCTTGATGCGGAAATTTTAGGGGCGAGAAAGGCCCTGGAAGCTGTGCTGGAATTGTCGGAGATGGGGAACGGGGGAAGGGACGGTAGGCAGTGGATCAATTTGTTGATGGATAGTCAATCTACAGTGAAGGTATTGAAAGGCTGAGGGCGATGGATAGGGAGACGTCACCTTGTGAATAGAATACTGATAGGTATGGGAGAATTCAATAGATCACTTGGACAGAGCAAGATGATTGATGGTGAATTGTATTTGTGGATGATTGATGTAGATACCGAGAGTAAAAAGGCCCTATCTATATACAGGAGTTCCTACCCTTATTCCTCTACATGGTATTGTCTATGATAGCTAGAGTAACTACAATGGCGACCTCATTGTAGTGAACACGTTGATGTTAGTGGGTAGCGACCAGGAGGCAATAGTGATCAGACTCTAAGGGGTTAACTTTGCTGGTGCACAGTTATCCCCTGAAGGTGTGTGCAGTTATGAACTCAGATTTTTACAACAGAAGCCACTGTCGACGCGAACTTCAACAACAAGCCTAGACGACGTACGCCAACATAGAGCGCTATCGAAAAAGGCCCGAGTCTCGGTGAAGTGGATACCGGCCCACTCTGGGATACAGGGAAACGAAGATGCAGATATAGCTGGACGCTCCGGCCTCCGACAACTGCCAACCAAAGAGAGTCAGCCTGGCTCCGTGAAGTTGGTGTACGTTCGTCGGCTTATTAACCAGAAACGACAAGCGCTTATCGAGAAATGGTGGAAAGAAGCATGTCCACCTAGGTATCGAAATCTGGGTATCCTCATGCGACGACGCAAGCCACGCGAGCAGGTACTTTCCCGGCGGCTACTTCGTGAACTAATCTCAGCCCGTACGGGCCACGGAAACTTCGCCACATGTCACCGCCGTTCCAATAACTTCACCGCTTCAATGGAGTGTGCGTGTGGAGAGGAGACATCACCTTTCCACTTCATTCACTGTGGACTGCACGCACGCCAGATGCGTCGATTTCGAGGGAAAATGTCACATCACAACTTTACCCATAAGCTTCTCGGGCCTAAGTGCCTCGAACACTCTACAAAATTTGCGCAGGAAACCGTCTGCTTCGGGCACCCACCTGCGGGCCCGTCTCTAGCTCTCAGCGTAGACGGGAGTAACTAGGTCATAGCACAAAGCATGACGGGTAGGAAAATGGGACGAGAAGTATCATTTTCCAACTACAAATTGGATTATGGGGTCTGGAATTTAGGTTATGGTAGTCTGTGGGAGCATTTATTTTCTTTCTTATAAGTAGCTGCTGGCTTTGTAGTGGGTCACGCGGCGAGACCGAGTCGGGCATGTGGAAAGCATGATCTCGGCCGTGTGCACCAGTCCTTGACTCCTATGAGATATAGAGCATAGCTGGGGACCTAAAAATTAAAAAAATAATGTCCTGCCCTAGCTCGCGTGGATCCGCAACATCGAGTAAGGAAAGTTCGCGAAGGTGGCACAAGCTCGGGCTGCAGCCAAAAAGGCCAAAGAGGCAATCATCGTCGCGGCGAAGGATGTCTCGATAGCCGAGGGATCATGTTTCGGGGCGCTGGAATCTGAAGAAGAAGCGTGAGGGAATGGCAACCACGACAATGCCTCTAATCCAGCCGGTATCCTGCTATTGGTTAGTAGATGCCTGTTAGAGGTGCCTGCTTACTCATCTCTTGCTCTCAGCGGAGAGTGGGTAAATTTGTCATTTGGAATGTGTGAGAAGTGCATTGCTTGGGTCCAACATGGAGCAACTTTCTGTGTTTCGGAGTTATTTTGATTTTCATAATTTTTCGTCTCTGTTCAATCAGCTGCACTTTCGGCAGCAATTCACGAGGTTGGAACGAGTTTAGGCTGTAGGAAAAAGTACAGGAAGCCCTGCCGGCTTAACCGGTCCTTCACCAATTGTGGATTAAAAGCTGTAGCTTTGGACTTTTTTTCAATAAATATAAATATGGATGAGGATTAAATACTCAAGTGATCAAGTGGTGGGTGTGCTGATCGAGGGATTACGGAAAGGTCCCTTGCGCAGCACGGGGCGCCTGCCCTGTCGTTATCAAAAGTAAATTGTGAATGATTTTTGTTTTCTTTTCATTTGGCCCGTTCAGATACACTTAGCTATAGTACTTGTGCATGAGGAAACTAATATGGTAAAAACCCCCTAAAGCTGTCTGTCTCGTGTCTATTTGTTTTCTGAGGTTTCCTACAGGAAGTGCGTTTACACTGTTTATACAGTGTGAATTCTGTCTTATCCTTGTCCACATCGTCTCAACTTTTCGTCCAATGCTATTTCTACTTCTCCTGCAAGCCGGAATTGTTCAAACTAGCCTTTTGCCAGGATCCATTTTGTGATTCTCTCCATGTCATCTGGGCTGTTCATCATCAGCGCAAAGGATCCATCTTTTGCCTTTCGAAGCACCTCTTCTCTTCCCATCGTTAACATTTCTATCTTGATGCCGACCCGTAAAAACATACCGTATAGTAGTAACTCATATTGATACTCGGGATTGCGATGGATAGCAGAGATTGATAGTGTTTATGGCAGTGCGGGGTCTGGTAATTAGTGACAGAGACAGGACACATGGATATATATATCGCGCACTTGACTCCTCTTTAATAGGATGATGCTTCCGACAACATTCACAATGCCCATACCTACTCCGGGCTAATCACCCCTTACTATATCGGTCATATCTTCTGATTAATGCCCTTAACGCCCTTTTATCTTAAATGACAGGTTATGATATTCTTCGTCTTGCTGGTCATCATCAAGCTCAGAGTTATGGACAGATTAAATCTTTAACACCAATTGCTTACTGAGTAAACGCCAAGGCCGTAAGTTTGACATTTTGAGACGGTTATCCACACTGACATTTTGGATGAATCACTCCGGGGACTTTCCTTGGATACAGGTAAGAATCGAGACTAATGTGCTCACTTCTTATCTGAACTGCAATACTACATTGGGCCCTACTACCAGGGGTTATTAAATGCGAGGAGGTTGGCGCAGAAAGTATTTGTACATAGTTGCCTTACACACAACTCCTTCCCTACTTGAAGTCAATTTAATCTCTTAATTAGCACAGATTGGCTTTGAACGCAATTGGTACCGTCGCATAGCGTCAAACACATTTGAAATCAATAAAAAAAGGCGTGCCTCTCGTAATCAGAGTCGGGAAAATCTGACGAGCAGCACCTAGGAGGCGCTGGTCGTCATGGCAGGGCTTCTTCTCGAATTTCTCTGGAATCTTGATTCCTTCATACCTGAAACTTCCCTCCAACTAGCGTGGAACTCGAGCCAGTGCTCTGGTCATGGAGGGAGGTGAGGCTCTTAGCTAGCATAAAATAGTGTAGGGGTCACAGATGATGAGCTAAATGGCCTACACAGTAAAAGATTATGATTGTTGATTTATGCCCGCCCTGTGCTTCACTGTCGGCAACACGAGATAAACGATAGAAGCTCTGTAACCTGATCGCTTTTCCCTCCCCCTTCTAAACTATCAACTAGTGCTCTATTTCTACAAACCACTTGATCCTATTCGGCTTCCTTTCTACGAACAGCATTCTACCCTTCGTTTCTGCTCGCGTCGCGTTTGCCCATGTTTCCCTCCACGCTCGCTCTCATGTGCTTCTCTACCCGCTCATCGCGCGCGCTTCCTGTAGGGGTCATCGGCTAATGATAGAACCTTCATTCCGGCGTAACGCAGCGTACCTGGAAGTTCCATAATTTCGGGATTTGGAACTTCAGAGCTACAGCAGGCTCAAGTATAATGTGGTCAGTTTAGTGTGACAGGATATCACGCTGGCAGGAGTTGACTGCGCGAAAGCCAAGCAAGGCGTGATGTTGATTCACCGTGCCCACGATCCCTGATCGCCAATCTCGGTTGCTGATGCAAGTTTCGTCGCTCGGATTCGGCTACCGACCAACTCATGGAAGCTGATGGCTACAAAGTCTCCACTCTACTCTTCAGTCAGTGTCGTTGCTCGTCCGTATCATGAATATATGGTCTATTCAGGAGCCGTGGGAATAGTTTCAGGTCAGACTCACCGTATCCAGATGTGTTGTGAGGAAATTTTTTTCAATTTGGTCTTGGCAAAGAATATGTCATAATAGTCACGTGAGATACATCTTGCACTTCAAGATGCATGGAGCAGACCAAATGTCGTCAATTCATAAGACCGGCGGGGAGCAGAATACGTCAGTAAGAAAATCAGACTCATGAGCCTATCTCTTGATGAGCTCGTGTGTAGGTTTTCAGACGAACTGATCATCATGTGGGCTGAGGGCGATTCAGGCGTGATGACTCGCTGTGGCTGTGGAAAGGCTTGATGCGGGTGTCAGGCCAAATTCCTTACTGAAGTCCCCGACTACGACCAGTCCCTCGTGTCCAGGAAGCTCTCAATCGATACATATTTGTTCCTGTGTGATGTAAAATTAGCTTTGGAAGTCTACGGGATAAGTAGCTTGTCTTTCTGACTCGGTCCTCAATATTAAAGAAGTCTACCATTACACCGACCTCAGATGCTCACACTCCCTAATAACTACACACTTCTTATACTCGCTTTTGTCAACATTTCATCAGCTTTGCATCAATCCATTCTTTACCTTTCAGATTAAATTTAGCTCTCTTTCTAAACAGATCGGCTCGTCGTCCTCTAAATCACGCGCTATATAAGCAACCAAACTTTCCAGTAAAATCATCGTGATATCTTCCAAGCTCCACCCTACGATGAGACTTAAGCACATTATTTCAACCCTGGTCTTTGCAGTTGGATCTCTCGCCACCTATAAATCTCAAGAAATAATAACTCAGTTTAATTGTGCCAACCAGGTCTATGAAATAAGAGATGTGGAGAATTTTGTCGAATCTGCAGCAGCTAAGTTAAAACTAATGTCGTCGAATCCACAAAGGCAACGAACCTTGGAAGTTTATAGACCGAACCATTCTCATGGCGTGAGGGAACTTAAACGCTACAAATTTCCTGCCTCCAACTTGATAAATTCGCAAGGTGAACTCGCGTTTAGGGTCTATGGCTCGAACAAGTTGCTAATCGAGAGAACAGTTCCAAAGTTTGTGATTATCAACGAGCATGGCCATCTTACGGACATGGCATGGGGAAATAATGCTTTAAATCAATGCGACAACCGCAGAGTTGAGCTTATGAAATCAGATTTTCCATGGGATAGTGATCATCAGATAAAGCTTTGGCGTAGTTATACGGGGACTATACGGAGCAATCTAAAGAGATAGTCAGGTTCTTGATATGTTGCAGTATTGATATAGGCGAACGTCGTTTCCATCACCAATTATGCACCAGTTTCAGCGGGTACTTTTTGTCACTTTTGGAATTTCTGCTGTCCAAGGTTCCAGTTTCTTTGGTAGTTTATCAACGGAATGGGGCACAACTAAAAGAGGTTCCCCGCCACTTTCCGTATAAAAGCATTAGTCAGTGACTTTTTGATGTACCCAAAGGGAAACTTGGAAAGACAACAGGCCCAAATATACATGGGATGAATCCTTTGGTAATTTTTTGTTTGTATTATTTGAAGTCTAGATTTAACCATAGCCCTTTTGCTCTCTACACCCAACCGGCTAACGGACGCTAGAGCTTACTTCTCTGGTTGCCTGAGGCGTCCATGTTCCCAAACATAAGAAATTAGGCCTACGAGATGTAATATAGGTATCTGTCCAACCATAGCTCAACACTAGTCTACCTGCGACCATACAAAAAACTACACGTAAAGAGGTAAAATAAGTTTGCGTCTTGCCATGTGTTACATCCTATGAATGCAGATTGGTAATTCTTATAAAAACGAATAATTTAAGCTTAGAGCGCATGGGGTGCTGAAATTCCGTGGCTACTATTGAGTCCGTAAGGGGAATCTGGGAAAAACAGAATTGAAGGGTAATAGTGTATATAGTTGTATACACTTGGTATCTTCAGTTGAATGGTTGTGACTACTTAGGGGGGCTTTGAATATACTTGGGTGGTTATGGCAATAATGTGATGGGATGCAAATGGTATCTTTTTGTTTTTGTTATGTTACAAATTGTCATGGTCTAGATAGTAGATTGTTGGATTGAGGTCTGAATATTTCTGCCTGAAGGTTCCGAGTCCGCTAGGGCAAGCATGTATGGGGCTTAATGGCATATTTACTTATTTATTAATTTAGGTCCTAGGCTATACCCGTTATCCCCTAAGGGTCAAAGACCGATATTCACAGCCAAGATCTGTTGGAAAACCGGTATGGGTTCGATGAGTAAGGCGGCTCAAAGAATATGGGCGCGATTTTATGAATAGAATAATAATGATATGAATCGGGAGAATATGTGATGTACTGTGGAGAAATAAAAGATGGTCTGAATAAATTGAATTGATTTAGATTATCTGTCTTAGTGATTCTTAGACAGCTTATATACATGTAATCTTGATAGACCAAATCCAGACTAGATACCATCCATCACTCGTTCCATACTCTAACAATGACAATGAAACGCACGACAGTATACAATATGAGTATGGGGTCAGGGTCGGTGGATGAAAGCCTACACGTGTATCAGACCATACCATGCACTAGTCGAGTCTCAAGCATCAAACATGCTCAGTAAGGGAGATATCAATCATCTAGGTCGTGAGTCATGTGTGAGAATCTTAGTTGTTCCAATCATGGGAAACTTCAGACACATAGAGTCTGAATTTCCAACAAGATCATATCCCTGATAAGCCAAACTTGATCCCACCGCTTGAACCACTACACAAATAGTAGCTAGTATAAAATTCGCACTGGTACAAAAATTCAACCTTTAAAAACCAAACTCCTAACCACAAAACTATCCAGCTCTGTAGATTTACCAATCTCTGGTTCGGAAACAAATCTCCTCGACTTGTCTTCCTTCCTGTCATATCATCTGTATGACTAATTTATATTGTCCCCGATGAGATCAGAGGACGAATTTGTAGATGGCAACCCAAAACAGCAGGTTTCCTTCTCAAAGATTTTGAAAAATTCGTGACACTTTGGCCCGAGAAGTTTTTGGATAAAGCCACTATGTGACAATCTCCCTCTGAGTCGACGCGTGACGTGAGAGTGTAGTCGACAGTGAATAAAATGGGTAGGAGTGGTCTCCTCCCCACAGGCGCACTCCATTATAGCGTCTAGATTGTTGAAACGGCGATGATGCGCCGCGAAATTGCCATGTCCAGTACGAGCTGCAATCAGATTTCGGAGTAGGAACCTCGAAAGTCCCAGCTCAGGTGGTTTCCTTCGTCGCATGAGCAGGTCGAGCTTGCGATATCGGGGCGGGCAAGCTTCGTTCCACCAATCGTCGAGTAACGCCTGCCGCAGACGATTCATTTGGCCATAAAGAAATGCCAGAGTGATGGATTCTGGATACATTTCCGGGCTCGGCAGCATTCGTAGGCCAGACCTGGCGGCCGAGTCGGCTTCCAAGTTACCCTGGATTCTTGAGTGCCCGGGAACCCATTTAATTGTCACGCGAGCTGATTTGGACAACTCCCGAAATTTCCGTACTTCATCGTGGCTTGTCGTGGACTTGCCTGTCTCGAGTGCGTTGATTGCCTGCTGACTATCCAGTAGAAGGTTGACTCGTTGCGTCGCGCTCTGGAGTCCCAATGCTGCTTCAAGAGCCTTCCTTGCCCCGGTGATTTCCGCATCCAAAGCCTCACCCCCATGCCTGATGCCACTTCCCGTAAGCAAAGTCTGCCCGTCTCTCTTTAGAACAAAACCCCAAGCAGAGCGTCCATTCCCCTCCGATGAGCCATCCGAGTAGGCACAAATTTCCGACTTCGGCACCTGGTTGATCCATTGCCTACAGATCTCAATTTGTTCTTCCTTAGATCCTGCTTTCGGTGAGTAGGATGTAGGCGGCAGTGGTTCCGCGTGCTCTGCTTTTGGTAATTGTCGGTACGCCCGCTGGACTCGTGAAATTATTACTTCGGGAATCAAAGTCGTTCGATTTCTCTTCTTGTATTTCCGCGTGCCGATATTTGGGCACACAGCCGCACGAATCCTCAGCGGGTGGCGGTCATCCAGAGTTTTGAGCCTAACTGACAGTCGAAGTCGATTTCCCTCCAGTATGATTTTCCCTGGTGGGATTCCTCCTTCTCTGTGCAGTACAACGTTTGCTGTCGTCCTCATTACCGGGAGTGCAGCTCGAAGTCCCATCAAGACAGCCTTGTCGATCATACCACTTAGATGTGCTGTTGGTGGGGTTGTCATGCTTTTTCTCGTCGGGCGTCTGAGACCAGGCCACCAGATTTCCGCACCGAATGTCGCAATAGGAACCACACACATGTCGACTGCTCGAATAAGTGCTCCTGGAGCGGCTCCTCGGAGAGCAGTGTTGAAGCGGCGCAGGCTCTGTGCAACTTTCAAGGCTTTACCGCACCAAGTTGTTACGTGGTGCTTAAAGGTCAGCCGGGGATCTAGGTAGACACCCAACCAACGAACATATTCGGCCGGCTCGATAAGGGTTCCATTGACATAGATTCCTTTCGCAGGCTCGCGGCACCGTGCTGGAAATTGGATTACTTCAGACTTACTTGTGTCGAAAGCAACCGCATTTTTTCCCGCCCAATCCGGGAGATCTTCGACTTCACTCTGGGCCGCAGCGGCGGATTCCGTTATGGTACGGCCAAATCCGATGATTCCGAAGTAAATTGGCTGTTTTTGGGATTTGATTAGATTTTAGTTCACGTAGGCCTGATTCACAAGGCTAGATTCTCAACAGCCCTAGTATTAGGGTCTCGCTTGTCATGTACAAATAAAGTGAAGGGCGGAAGGCAAGATTGAACATCTGTACGCGGTGTTCTCTACGAACCTGGGAGTGAAATATTCTCCCAGAGCCAAGTTCAGTCAAACTTCGCAATTCCGAACAAGATGGCCCACGAGGCAATGATTCAAAATACTCCACTACATCAATCTTTCACTCCCAACGAGATAGATTCCTACCTAAGCCTCATCAAGTTTACAAGTACGACCTAGTACATCTTCATTCCAATGACCACACCTCTTTTCAACTTTCTCTGGCCTTAGCTGATCGCCAGGTACACGCTCATGCCGATATTTACACCCGACGGAGGAAGCAAAGCGTGGCGCACAAATCTGGAAGACAATTCCTTGGAATGGATGTGAGAGGGATCAGGACAAGTTGATAGGATGATGCGAGGGATGGATACAGTCTCGACGGGCGTGGAATTTTGAAGTTTGGTAAGGAGTTTTTACAAATTGAGCTTTGTGCGTGCCAAGTCTTCGGCTGCGAGAGTGCAGGGGACACTATAAAAACTGCCATGGTTGGATGGTGCGGTGGTACATCTTCTTGGCCGGTCTGCCAAGTAGAGTCTGGATAGCTTGGACACATATCCCACTTGAGACAGTAGATCGCTGGTTCAAATCCGGCAAAACATAACCACATTTCTCACGGCGCTGGTATGCATGGATGACGAAGGCATGCTTGGATAACCAAAGGTTTTGAAATTCCCTTTGGTGGGTACTAACGGAGAAGGGTCGACTGTTTGTGTAAGCAAGCATACCTCAAAGTGGTATTTGCGAATGAAATCCAGAGTATGAGTATCTCTAACGTCTAAAGAATCATCCAACATGTATACATATTACCGGTCATGTGTCATAGCTAGATAGCTGAATACACATTAAATGGTTCAAGAAAAAAAAAAGAGTGAAGCGCGCACTAGATATAGATTGTGTCACGTTCAGTTAATTAAACATAACCTTGATCCACCAGACTCTTCATCACGTTAACATCGCACCTCGCTCCCCCCATAACACAAATCAGTTACGTGATGATTAGCCAATCACAAATACTTCCAGATAGCGCCGTAGCTAGTCTCTTTGAGGGGAGGGCAAGACTGAACAACTGTACGCAGTGTCCTCTGCGAACCTGGGAGTGAAATATTCACCCAGAGCCAAGTACAGTCAAATTTCGCAATATCAAAGAAGTTGGTCCACGAGGCAATAATCAAAATTACTCCACCATGTTGTTTTTTCGCTCCCAACGAGTTTGACTTCTACCTAATTCTCATCAGGTCTGCAAGGATGACCTAGTACATCCCCATCCCAATGATCACACCACTCCTCGACTTTCTCTGGCCTCAGCTGCTCACCAAATACACGCCAACGCCGATATTAATACCCGACGGAGGAAGCAAAGCGTGGCGCACAAATCTGGGAGATGGTATTTGGGATGGACGCGAGAGGGATCAGGACAAGTTG